TACAGATGCAAATTTATGTCCAAAACTTATCCATTCTTTTTGCACCAATATTTCAAACCCTTCAATGCTCCGATAGAAGCTATCCAACATCAGCATGGCCAAGGATGTCAGCTGAGCAGTCCTGTCCCATCCGTCACTGCAATGCACAAGCACCGAACTCTTCCCTGAAGAAACTTTGTCTGCTACTTGAATGGCTCCTGTCAAAACGAGCTGACAAAGAAAAATATGTGAGTCAGTAGGGAGCTATAAGATACTGCTTAAATTTGATAGTTTTTAAACTTAGAAAAAGCCATGCTTTAAAATATTAATGTCCAGAACAAAGATTTATCAAAATGAAACACTAAGAGCTGCAGGATCTGTTGATTATCCTCTACAGACACTGCATTTGAATGTGCGTAGGTATTAAAAAACAAACCCAAACAAACCAAAAGCCAAACTGCATCCCAAACTTATTTTCATGGATGCGACTGTGATAGTGTGCTAGGGCTGTCATAAAGTACCACAAACTATGAGGCTTAAACAACAAAAATATATTGTCTCACAGTTCCGGAGGCTAGAAGTTTGAGACCAAGGTGCTGGCACTGCCACGCTAATCACTAGAGATCTTTTCCAGGTCACTCTTCTAGCTTCTGGTTGTTCCTTGGCTTGTGGCAGCATAACTTCAATCTTCACATGGCAGTCTCACTGTGTGTGTGTGTCTGTGTCCAAATTTCTTTTTATAAGGACACTAGTCATAACAAAGTAAGGGCCCACACTACTCCAGTACAGTTTCATTTCAACTAAACATGTCTGCAAAGACCTTATTTTCAAATAGGGTCACACTCTGAGGTACGGGGGGTCAGGACTTCAACATATAAATTTTTGAGGGACAAAAATTCAACCCATAACAGTGATCAGATTAAAAAAAAAATCACTGACCCAACAGGTTGCGTCTAGACCGTAAAAGTCTGATACAGTGAAATCCACCTTTTGACCTTTAAATTGGCAATATATCAACTCTTGTTTGGCTCATAAACAGTAGGGTACTTAAAGCATTCTAATAAAAATTTGAGACTTAGAAGTATCAATAAATTTATGTATATAATGGGTTATTGCTATGATGTCATTTTTTGATGATTCATGCATTTACAGAAATATACTTTATAAACCATGGAATATACCCATCCTGAGTGTGAGTGCAATAAGATTTAGCAAATTTATACAGTTGTGCAGTTATCACCATAATGTAGTTAGTTGTAGAACACCCACATTACCCAAAAAGTTTACCCGTGCCATCTAAGGTCAATCCTTCTCCCACCTTGAGCCCCAGGCAACCATTGATTTGCTTCCTGTCCCTATAGTTTGCCTTTACTAGAAATTTTACATAAATAGAATAATGCAATAGGTGGCCTTTTGTGACTGGCTTCTTTCACTTAGCATCATGTTTTCAAGGTTGATCTGTGTTGTAGCATGAATCAGTACTTCCTTCCTTCTCATGGTCACATACCCTTCCATTGTATGTAGACAGACCACATGTTATTTATCCATTCATCAACTGACAGACATTTGGTTGTTTCTAGCATTTGGTTACTATGAATAGTGCTGGCGTGAACTTTTGCATACACATTTTTTGAAGGGACACAGTGTTTTTATTTCTCTTGGGTAAAATATCTTGGAGTGAAATGGTTGGATCATATGGTGAATGCATGTTTAATTCTTAAAAGAAACTGCCAAACTATTTTCAAAAGTGGTTGTACCATTTCACATTCCCACAATGTATGAGAGTTCCGTCTTTTCACATGTGTATCAACAAGTTGTATATATTATGTTATTTTGGGTTGGTTTTTAAAAGACTTCTTCCATGGAGCTTCCAAAATTCTAGCAGCCATGCAACAGACATCTGTTACAGTCATTTTACCCAATTCAAGGAAATGGAAATGGAAATGGAAATTCGTTTATTTTAAGTAATTCACGGAAAAGGCAGACCAAGTGAAAGATCCTATGTATGAGGGTTGAAAAATTACCTACTGGATACAATACTCACTATTCGGGTGATAGGTAAACTAGAAGCCCAAACCTCACTATGCAATATATCCATGTGACAAACCTGTACATTTACCCCTTGAATCTACAAAAATAAAGAAATGTAACTTCATTAGTTTTACATATACAATGTAACTAAAGATAAGTGGATAAAGTAGTGCCAAGAAGGAAAGGTTAAGGGACCTAAGGATGCCCGGCACATCAATTAGCTGTACAAAATCCATTACTCCTAAAATGACTAGAGCTGTTTATTTCTTCAAGCATTTTAAGTATTCTCCTTGAAATTCTGTTTACAATTTTCATTTGAAGTACTTCTGAAGAAACGGCTGTTGAGAAGCAATGGTAATACACTAGATCACTTGAGTCCAATTTAATGAAGTTGGGGTTCTAATGCATTTTTACAGAGGGCAACTCTCACTCGAGATACTTCCCTCACTTATAATAAAAAAAAAAAGGGATTCAATCTCAGCCAATTATTTTGAAAAATTAGTTGTGTTCCAATTAAGTATTAATTCCCACAATCACTTCTGACAGAAACAGCTATAATTATCTAATAAAACTAAACCAGAGTTTTAAAAACACATGACCAAAAACTTAAATAATCTGATGGACTCGTGACTGATGAAAGAAATGACAGCCATCAAGCAGTATACATCACAGTAGTTAAGAGCACTGGCTCTATGGCTGAAGACCTGGGCCTGAAACCTCATTCCACTTTTGGTATCTCATGCTTTGGGCCAATTGAGTAACCATGGTTTCTTTCTCTCTACTGTGAAGAAATGAGCAATATCCCTACTAGCTTGTCTTGGGCTAAACGATGCTCCCCATAAAGTGCTGACATTGAGCACAGGCTCAATGATGGCTAGCTGCCATCCAAGAAGGCCAAAATAACATGATACTTTAAAAGAAGAAGGACTATACGGGAAGAGTACTGTATTGAAAAGGACAAAGAGAAAATACAAGCTCCAGACACTACAGAGTCCTCCTTCCACCCTGCTGGGGCTGTCAGTGAACGGGAATGATGATTTGAGAGGCATGCTAAGGATGGCGATTTTCTCATTGCAAAAGGCTTGCCCTGGTTTCATACACTGAGTGGTGACACCATTTCACCAGATTACAGGTTAGTGATGGCCACTCCACCTGTCAGCAGACCCAGGGCTATAAAATAGTATAGGAGGCTGAATAATGGTCACCAAAGATGTCCAGGTCCTAATCCCTGGAACCTGTGTATACTATCTCACATGGTAATAGGGACTTTGTGGATGTGATCAAGTTAGTGATTTTGAGATGACAGATAATTCCGGATTATCCAGGCGGGCCCTAAATTACATCACACAAATCCTGATATGAGAGAGGCAGAGGGAGATTTCATACAGACAGAAGAGGGGAAGGCAATGTGACCACAGAGGCAGAGGATGGAATGATGTGCCCACAAGAAGCTGGAAGAGGCAGGGAATGGATTTTCCCCTTGTTCCATCCAGTATTCTAGGTCCAACTCAAGGCTATCCGCAACTCTGCTCCACTGTTTGAATTGCTGTGGTGTGACTGATGCCTGAGAAGCCCCGAGTCAGATATCACTACGGGTTTCCACCTGGACTCCAGTCTCCTGGTACCTCCTTTGGCTTCTGTACAGAACAATGACAGTTTCTTTCATTTCTTTCATATCCCCTTTGCTATAGACAAAACTATAAAACCTTAGAGAGGCCTCTTAAAACATTTCCCACATTTCTTAAGTGCTAACTGCCATACTTCATCTTTTGCAGATGGCCTTACCTCCTAACTTCCTCAGACATCTGAGCCATTGAACAAGACCTACTTTCACCCAGTCTCTCTTCCTTCTATCTAGCTCAGAGTAGCAGCTGAGCCACCTTGCCAATAACTCCTGTACGTGTGCTCTCTCTCTTTTTTAAAAAAATCTTTTCCTCTTATTTACAAAAGTAATATATATTCCATGGGAAAAAATGGAGAAAACATAGGCCTGTTACTCAGAAAGAATAATTATTCACATATTGGTGGATACTTTTCTAAACTCTGTATGTGTGTGTGTTTGAAACTTTTCTTGTACATTTAGGTGGTTTCCAATGCTTATCCACTTGTTTTTTTTTTAAAGAGATGGGGACTTCTTCTGTCACCCAGGCTGGAATGCAGTGGTACAATCATATTAATAGGTCACTGCAGCCTGAAAATTCCTGGGCTCAAACAATCTTCCTGCCTCTGCCTCCTGAGTTGTTGGGACTAAAGTTGTGCACCACCACAACTATTTTTTGTTTGTTTGTTTGTCTGAGTTTTGTAAGAAGCAGGGTCATACTATGTTGCCCAGGCTGGTCTCAAACTCCTGGGCTCAAGCAATCCTCCCGCTTTGACCTCCCAAAGCACTGGGACTAGAGGCATGAGTCACCATGCTGGCTCTGTTTTTCCACTATCATGAGCATATTTTCAGACCTGTGTGATTATTTCCCTTAAAAAAAAAAAAAATCCTGAAGTAAATCTTTTCTCTTCGTCTACAAAACAGGCTAAAGCTTCCCATGACTTGAAAAGCCCTTCTCATAGTCATATGATCCTCAACACTTCCCCCTTCCTTAACTCCCTCTCTTTTTAAAAGAACAGTCGATATTCATTACCTCTATTTTCTCACTCACGCCCACCACATCACTAGACAACCCCAAGGTCATAAAGGACCTCGTTAATAAACCTCCTTCAAGTACCACTGACCCTTTCTTCTTAAGACCCTTTCTTTACCTTCCAGTATCCTCCTTTGATGTCCATTTCTCTCATATGCCTCCTTCACTGAGCTCCACTTCTTACCTCCTGCCCTGAATACAAACAGGCCCAAAGCTCCACTCAAAGTCCTTTGATCTTTTCCCCACACATCCTCTCAGAAACTACATTAAAGGGCTTTGCTTGCATTTGTTGCCCAATAGCTGACTGCCCAACCGACATCTCAGTGTTAAGTCTCTATTTTGGATTCTACTTTGCAGAAAGCCTGCCTGTTAGACACCACCAGATGGATGACCCACCACTACCCCAAATGCATGGTGTTTCTCTTGACCAAGGTCCCAGTCAAATCTTATTTTTATTTTGCCTGACTTTCATTTTTTTATGAATTTGTCATCCTCACCAATGAATTGTGAAAAAAAAAAAAACAAAAAAACAAAACAACTAATTGTGACAACTAAATATGTGATACCTCGATGGGAGGGATCCTTGAACAGAAAAAGGACATTAGGTGAAAGCTGAGAAAATCCAAATAAAGTATGAACTGCATTAATAATGAGTTAATAATGTATAAATATTGGTTCATTAGTTGTGACAAATGTACCGTACAATGTGACATGCCATAGTTGTGAGCATTGTAAGATGTCAATAAAGAGAAAAACTGGGTTGGGTACATGCGAACTTTCTATAGTACTTTTACAATTTTTCTGTAAATTGAAAACTATTGTAAAATAAACAGTTTTACTTTGTTTTTTATGTTAGACTTTGTGAATGGGAAAATGGTATAAGACTTTAAGGAGGTTCACATATGATTGAAGAGATGATAGGTGTGTGTAAAAAGAGACAAAATGTATAGCAAAGTCAGTGGAAGGAACATTCCCTTTGAGATTCGGTGGGATTTGATCTGGTCCTTGAAGAAAGTGGAAGGATGGGGAAATCCATTCTAGAGAAAGAGGACGACCTAGACAAAGGCCTAGAAACAGGTGTTAAGTGAGATGGAAATAGGAAGAGTAAGGATTTCCGTAGTTGCAGGTTAATCTACAAACCTGCAGAAGCCAGAGGAACAGGGCCGTGACTGTCAGGTTAGGCTGTTGGGAGCCCCCAGAGGTTTTGGAATAGCAGGATATTTTAGCAAAATGTTCTCTGTCAGCTGCTTATAGAATAGATAGGAGAGGGAAGGAAGAGAAAACAGAACCATTTTAAGAGTGCAAAGACAGGGGTAGTAATGGCCTAGTGTGAATAATGCCAGTGTGAGGGTGAGGGGACTATGAGAGTGACAGAAATGTTTCCAAGGAAGGGCCTGTGGTACTTTATGATTAGCTAGGTGCAGGAGCTAAAGAAATGTAGGATGATACCAAGAGGGTGAGCCTGGCTAGCTGAGAAAAGCATGCCACCATTTGCAGATGAAGGGTAAGTTGGAAAACAAAATTTGACTAGAGAATGTATCTTAATAATTCACCTATACATTAAAGCTGACTTTTTGTTTGTTTACAGAACTAAAGGGTTTCTAAAAGTGTTAGTTCCCTCAGATCGCTTCAAGTACTTTTTAAAAAGTGGAGGATTATTGATGCCTTTATCAGGATTGAAAATAATAAAACACAAAATCGATTCTTTAAAATAAGTCACTTGAGATTAGTTTCAAAAAAAAAAGAAAAAAAAAAAATACTGACCACCTCTATCTAGGTCCAAAGACATTATATCCAGTAATAGTTAGATAATAAATTGGCTATTCGTAAATAAACCTGCATGAAAGACTGAACGACTTAATACTGAAAGATGGAAAGAGATGTCTTTGCACACTCTAAATATATTCCGGAGTGATGATGTGAAATCTTTAATTGAGGTAAGCAAATTATAAAGCAACATAAAACTGTCAAATGTGGTCCTATATTACAAAGTTTCTCTCTCAATGTCCATTTTTTTAAAGGAATTTAAAAATATCTCCATTCCACCAAACAATTACATTCTTGTTTATATACGCAAATATTTTAACAAAATATACTTGCCTTGATATGTTCTAACCAATGAGTAGACTCCAAACTGGACAACCAATGAGATTCTTCTACATTAGGATAAACAATGTCCTTCACTTTTTTTAAAGATTCCCGCATAACATGAATATTATGAATGTCTAAGAAGAAAAGTTCGGCGTTATGATATGCATCATCACTTTCATATCCTCCTCCTGTTGCCTAAGAAACAACATGAAATACAAACAATCAGTTGAGTTTTCTATTTCATTAGAAACTTACACAAATATTTCTAAAGTTATTTGTCCTCCAAATAACCCCAAATCCTCCAATTTAAATGAATAATTGATGTGACTTGACTTCCTAGCCAACAGTAAGTCTCAAAAACATTAGTCATACTTTAAGCTGAAAAAAAGACAGAAGGCTGGCAATTTCCTGGGGAATCTGTATTCCTAAGGAAAAAAATCATCCTCAAAATGCTCTATAATTAATAGCTCTTCTTCCGGATCTGGAAAGGCAAAAGTAGGTTGTGAAAGGTCCTCGTTCTCCATTAGTTTTGTATCTCTAATAGTACTCTTCGGGGGGAATGGGGGAGGCAGCCAGACTGAGGCAGCAGCAGGCACCTCTGGCTCTGTAACAGCACTCACGTAGGACGTGATGCATTAGAGGAAAACAACAGGCCTCGGAGTCAGACCCAGGCTGATAGCTCAGCTTCAGCTTCTCCTTGCCATGTGATCTGGGACAAGGCACTTAACATTTCTGAGCCTCAACATCCTCTCCTGTAAAATAGAGGATAATATTACCTAGGTCTCATACTATTAAAGGAACCACACTCTATTATAATAGCTAATGCCAGCCACTATTTAATGAACTCCTATGACATCCCAGGTACTGTGACTCTTGCTTTACATAATTTTATCTCTTCAGCAGTGCTGCAAGATAGGTATTACTATCCCCATTTTGCCAATGAGAAAACAGAAACCCAGAGATGCTAGTTAACTATCCCCTAAGTCACATAGGTAGTAAGTGGCATTTAAATCTATGTCTGGCTTCAAAGCTCACACTTTTTCTACTAAACGATGACTGTTTCTCTGCTATGCAAACACCAACGACAGAGCGCTGCACATAGTGAGCTCTGAAAGAATAAAAGATTTCAAGAGGAGCCAAGATGGCTATCGCCTACTGCAGCACCTACAAGTATTAACTTGCCAGAGCAGGCTTTGGTTCATCTTCACAGCATGTGAAGAGTGCCCATTTTCCACACTGACAAAGAGATGCTATGGTTTCATTTAGGAATCTGGCGGCATTCTGCTTAAATGTTTTGAAATGGCATAGAACACGTGGCCTTTGGCCCTTTAAGAAAAAGTTCAACAGTTCTGAGACTTGCAAAGAAAGCAATATTATACTAACTCCAGAGTGCCTGTAGGAACAGAACAGGGAAACATCTGCCTGGGGCTGTAGAGGAAAGGAGAAGTCACCAGACAAATGTGCCATAGCTACAATATGCCTATTTTCTCTTTATTAATAACAATGGTAGGAATATAAGCTTGTAGCCATGGGTAGAAGGGCCAAAGAAACTTAGGCTTAGTTTTTTGTTTGTTTTTTTTCCCTGGAGTTAGTCACAGAGAAAGGTTTCCTGCAGAAGTAAGGCTACCATCCATTTAGGTTTCAAACCTGGAGACCTATGTTAAAAGCCAGAAATCTTGGTCTCCAAAGACTCTAGGCAAGAAAATACACCTAGGCAGAAATATTTCTTTAGAGTTTGCTCTAAATAGTATCACTAGTAAGTAGACAGTAAACATTCACAGTGTTGTTTTAAAAAAGTTATTAGCTAATAAATAAGCGATTCATTATTTAAGTGGGCCACTTTCTCCTCTTCCTGCTTCTCTACACATGCAGTTTTTAAATAGTTGTGGTGATTTTCAAAGAGATTCTTGAAACTGGAGTTCTCTTCATAAATAACCGAAAATAAGTGAAAAAATAAAAGGAAAAATATACTTTATTACTCATCGCTAATGTTTCTGGTAAAAACAGACATTAGCACAGTTCCACATTAATTCATCACGATGTACTGCCACAAAAATAGAAGCGGCTTGCTGCTAGATCTCACCGATCCTTGGATTTTGTTTAATTTAAAATGACGTGCTGTTGCTTGTTGCATCTGGGGATGTAAATTTCTAAATATCCGTAAGGGAGGAACAATTAGGTCCAAGGAGAACAGAAGATCAGAAAGGGCAACAATCAATTAGTCAAGCACACACTGAGTTCCTGAAAGTTCAAATTCTACATCTCTGGTTACTTTTGAAGTATTCTTTCTGGTTTTCCTTTCTTCAACAAAAAAGAACAATGTAGATTACCTAGAACGATGATGTAAAGGTCTACGGGCCTGTTGCTATGGATATAGACGACTAGCAGAGAGACACAGCAGAGGGAGGGGGACACAAGTGAGCTTTTTAAAAGAATGACAGAGATCTGTAAAGCTTAGGCTTTTTCCCTGATATTTTCCTTCCCTTGACTCCTAAGAGGACTAGAAATGGAGGCTTGTTTCCTGAGTGTTAAAAAGGCCTTCAGGAATTCTATTTCTAGAATGAGCTTTAGAGTTAATTAGTGTATCCATTTCATGCATTTTAATATTCTAAAATATTCTTTGTAAATACTTCATTGTAATGCTATATCATATCTATTTCAGGCTAAATATGTACATGAAAATATTGCATTATATATATATGTATTCACTCTGAATTATATATGAAAGATAATAGTAACAGAGATATATAAAATTAAGGACAATCCAAGAAGACATTTAGATTTAGATTTCATTTCCTGAATGTTTCACTTACGATTCCTAATTTACTTGTCAATTTAGCTTACTGATTGCTTCACATATAATTTCAAAATCATCTCTGGACCAAAAAACAACCATAGTAACAAACAGCTGGTTCAAAAGCATGCATGGGGATGGGGAGGTGGCCCAGGATTAAACATGTAGGACAGAAGATCCGTGCGCAAATAATGAAGAGTTGAGCTGTGCATGCATGCAGTCTGACACATCCTAGTGCAGACAGACATCACAGATTCTATTGGGAAGCTGCTGCACCTATCTGAGCTGCTCAAGAACTTGTTTTGCTTCCTGGTTCTTATGTTCTGAATAATTGAAGATGCTAGACAAATAACCTCAGGATAAGCAATGTATTAAATATGATGAAATTTAAGCCTACAGCAGATGAGAAACAATAAATCTGAAAGCTGGAATAGGAGTGAGCAATTTAGGGCAGGCCCCTTGTGAGCATTTCAAAGTGACAGCAATGATGGGAGGAGAAGGAAAAGAAAAACAACAAAAAGGAGAAATAGAACGTAAAATGCACACCAATCTGGGGCCATTTAGCATAGGAGCAAACAGCCATACACCTTGCAGCAGCTTCTGAAGGCAGCACTGTGCAGTCACTGATGTTCAGGATGACCCTAATCAATTTTAAGTGCATTCAGCATATTCTGCTTACAGCAAAAAGTCAATTGAGACAGACTTCTTTGAAAATGGTCAACTTTGTGTATATGTTTGTGCTTGGAAAACTCACATACGTGGATTTACTCATTTCTTGAATTATCTTATGTAAATGAGAATACACATATGTGAGTATATACGGGTATGGGGGAGGGAGTGTTTGGGTAGCATACAAATTTAGTATTTTAACAATTACAGCTTCCCATAGCTCCTTACAGATGCCTCAATAGTGTACACAATGAGTGATCATCCACAGCTGAAAGGGCTTTAAAGAGAATCTAACTTTTTCCTGCCAAGGTCCTGGCCAAAACCCAACTTCATAGTCTAGACATGCCTATTTACCTAAAGTTTATTTGCATTTGATTTTGATGTATTCAATTTTGTTTAAGTTTTGTGATTACAACTACTTTATATCTAAGAGAACTGGTTTTCTTAACTATTAATTTAAACCCATGTGTTTCTATACCATGGCAAAAACATTCACAGAAAACACTGCATTCCATATGTAAGCTAAGTGTCCAGCACATCACTAAGTCCACTCACCTTGTTGGCCACTGCATTTACGCTGGGTCTTGCATCATAGATGGTGAGTTTGGAAATCTGTTTATTAGTCTCCCTGATAACATCGAGATATTTCTCATCATCTTTATTTCGTTTCCCACTCATACCGACAAGAGGCTGACTGCAACGCACAATGACTGTCTTATTTTCTGGATGAATCCATGACAGCACCTATGGTTAGGTCAGAAAGTTTAAGCTATCAAGAAAGCCAATCTCCAAGCAAACAATTAAAACTGCAAACCATAAAGCACTGATAGTTATCAAGAAGTGAATCTGACAGTGCTAAAATAGAATACTTGTTCAATTGCAATCTCACTGTGTGCGTGTGCCCAGAGACATGCATTTAATAATATAACTCAGAAACAAGTACAACTACCAGTCTTTTCTTAATTAGCACCACATCCAATAGAAATTAATTGCTTACCTAAAAATAGTTATATCACTTAAAGGAAATTGAAAGCTTGATCCCATTTTAATTATGTAGCTTGCACTGGATTTGTTATCATATAGAAGCAGCTTTGGCAAAAAGTGAGAGGTAAAGGAAATCGTCTCTGGTACAATATGTTTCTCATAATACCAACTCATGTCTACAGATCATTTTCCCGACAGTCTCAATTCTAGAATCTAACA